ATTTGTGGTTTGTTCTCCTCCAGGAGGGTTTTTCTCAGCTATATCTTTCCCCGGTTCTCTCTGTTAAACTAACTGGCTTCTTGCTCTTAGACTGGAACTTTCCATACTCTTTCAAATAGTCATTGTCTTTGGGTAGAGAGCTTCGTAGCTGCCTTTTCTCGTGGACTGCCTCTACCCCTGGGAAAACGCGTGTGACTTCTAGGCTGCTTCTTTCTTGGTGTGGAACCTCTGCTCCCACGGGACTGCTGGCCAGGGAGACAGGCCCGGGTTCCTTCCAGGATGCCGGGCCCGCCACAGCTGGAGGGACTGGGTGAAGGAGCCTCGGACTCTTGGCTCCACTCACCAGGACTTGAGTCTTTTCACCTTAGAGGGGACAAGAAACGCTGGCAGTTTGCCAGTCCAGGTGAGACTGGGAGTTATAAACAGACCTTACACGTTTAACAAAATTCTACATAAAGCGGATCATACCCTGAACTGTAAAATGCAAAAATGTAAAACTTCTAGAACATGACATAGAAGAAAATCTAGATGACAGTGGCTTTGATAGTGGCTTTTTAGATACAACACCAAAGGCGTGATCCATGAGAGAAAGTGGTAAATTGGAGTTCATTAAAATTAAAAATTTGTGCTCTGCAAAAGACACTGTCAAGAGAACGAGAAGACAGGCCACAGACAGGGAGAAAATATTTGCAAAAGATAGACCCGATAAAGGACTGTTATCCAAAATACACAAAGAACTCTTAAAGCTCAACAGTAAGAAAACCAACAACTTGATTTTAAAATGGGCAAAAATCTGAACAGACATCTCACCGCAGGAGATACATATATGGGAAATAAGCATATGAAAAATACTCAACCTCATGTGTTAAGAAGTTACAGATGAAAACAAGACCACTACCCAACTGATAGAGAAGGCCTAAATATTAATACCACATGCCGTCAAGGATGTGGCGCAAGACGAGCTCTCGTTCGATGCAAAATGGTAGTCATGTTGGAATACAGCTTGGTAGTTTCTTATAGAACTAAACATACCATCCAGCAAGCGCACTTCTAGGTATTTATCCAAATGACCGAAAACTTATGATTATACAAAAACCTACACATGAATATTTATAGTAGCTTTATTTATAACGGCCAGTTGCAAGCAACCAAGGTGTCCTTTAATACAGTGGTCCCCAACCTTCGTGGCATCAAGGACCGGCGCTGCTATGAGGATCTAGTGCCCGATGATCTGGGGCGGAGCTGAGGCGGTGATGCTGGTGCTGGGGAGCGGCTGCAGATCCAGATGCAGCTTCGCTCGCTCGCTTCCTGCTGTGCGGCCTGGTTCCTAACGGGGTTGGGGACCTCTGCTTTAATAGGCGAATGAATAAATTGTGGTTCATCCTTAAAATGAAACATTATTCAGGATTAAAAACAAACGAGTTATCAAGCCATGAAGAGACGTAATGGACATTTAAATTCATATTGCTAAGTGAAAGAAGCCTGTCTGTTAGTTTGTTATGAATTAGGATATAGTTTATCTTGACGAACATTCCACACGCAATTGCAAGGAATGCAAATTCTGCCACTGTAGTGGATAGTGTTCTACAAATGTCAGCTATGGTAAGCTGATTTTAGTGTTGTTTAGATCTATTTTTATTAACTTTCTAGCTAATTGTTCTTAAAAGTATTGGAATATCCAAATATAATCGCGGATTTCCCTGTGTCTTATAGTTGTCAGTTTTCGCTTCAGGTATTATGTTGTCTTGGCAGATCGCCCTCTTTATAATGTTCCTGTTTATCCTGAGAATATTCCTTCTTCCGAAGTTTACTTTTAAAAAATATTGATATAGTCATTCCAGCTTTCTTTTGATTAGTGATTGCATTATATTAGTTTCTGGTATAAAGCATATAGTTGGGTCTCAGGGAAGATTTGAATAACTAATATTTTATGTGACTGAGCTATTTTTTTCTTGAGTTGGTGGTTATATTTTTCTAAGAATTTGTCTATTTCCTCTAAGTTTTCAGTCCTTTTGGCATAAACTCTTCGGACTGTTTCCTAATCTTTTAAATGTTTTTTTTTTCTTTTTTATGTTCCCCTTTCACAATATATATATTTTTTAGGCGAGGCAACCCTTGGTTGACCTCACATATTGCAAGGACCTTGTCAGCTTACAGTCCCTTATTATCATTTTTTTATTATTTGTTACGCCTACAGCACCTGGTCTTCCTAAGTGGTTTCCTATCTAAGTACTAACTAGGCCCAACCCTGCTTAGCTTCCGAGATCAGCGCTTTCTCAATATTTTTATGTACCTTTTTTATCTTTATGAATCTGCCAAATGTTGGTCTACTTTATTAGCTTTGTAAAAAAAAAAAAAAGAAAGAAACATGGGGTTTTATCCCTCTTCTTTATTGTGTTCTAGTTTATTTCATGAATTGATGCTTTTACTTTTAATTGTTCAACTACAGGTGACATTCAATATTATATTAATTTCTGGTATACAGCATAGTGGTTAGATATTTATGTAATTTACAAAGCGACCCCCCCATTAGTCTAGAACCTACCAGGCACTATGTATAGTTATTACAATATTAGTAACTATATCTCTTATGCTTTACATCCCCATGAGTGTTTTGTAATTAACAATTTGTACTTCTTAGTCCCTTTTTATTTTTCACCAGACCCCAGACCCTCTCCCATCATTAGCTTGTATCTATGAGTCTGTTTCTCTTTTGTTTGTTCGTTTATTCTTTGGATTCACACATAAGTGAGACCAGATGGTATTTCTCTTTCTCTGACTTATTGCACTTAGCACAATAGTCTCTAGGTCCGTCCATGTCGTCACAAATGGTAAGATGTCATGCATAGCTAAGAAATATTGTCATACATATGTACTTCCTTATCCAGTCGTCTACTGATGGGTTCTCTTGCCTGCTGACCACCCTTTGGGTGTGCTGCTTGTGGGGCTTATCGGGTGGTGCTCTTGTATGATTTGATGCCGGCCACTGGGTGTTTTGGTTCTGGGCGTCTTGGGAGGGCTTCTGTGCAGGCCAGGGTCAGCCGCTGTCTGTGCCTGGGCCCCGGCTCTCTGGTAGGAGCTACAGTGGGATCCTCGGTAGCTGCCTGTGCTGGGCCTGGAGGCATGCGGGTGAGGCCATACTGCTAACTGAGGCTGGCAGCCAGCAGTACGGGGCCTGCGGGAGCTCAGCAAAAGGCCCAGGGAAGCCTGAGGTCTGCCACCACCCCTCTGTGAGGCTCAGCGGCTGAGCGAGCCTGGGCAGTGTGTGCTGGGTGGGGCGGGGCCTCGGAGTCACGGGGCGGGGCGAGCGGGCTCGCCGGGCCAATGAGAGTTGCGG